AAGGGTTGTTTTGACGTATTGTTTGTTTATGGTTATTAAAACGAAATCTAAAATTGTTTCCAGACTCACCAGTATATCCACTATTAGGACATAAGTTGCAGAATAAATAATAGATTACGTTATGAGTATCGCAGGTGAGGTGTATTCTGATATTGGTGTTGGGTACGGAAAATGTATTAGCTATTATTAAATGTTTGCAAACTAAGCAACGAAGTTTGTTACATTTGTAATTTCCTGTTTGGTTTCTATTGTTTAGATATTTGGTAGAGGTGAGGATAGCTGATAAGTTAGGTGATTGTTTCATTGCATTTATGGGTGGTTTATCGAAAATGTCTTTGATCTTGTTGTCTAATTGGAGGTTCTTGTAATCATTTTTTAAATTGTGAATAAGTGTGTGGAATATTGATTGTGGTTAAAACCATGGGAATCCGATTGTTGTTTTTATTTTTCTTGTATGTGAGAAGTGTGTTACGATTTATTAGGATAGTTTTATTTAGTGCTTCTTTTATTATTTTTATTGGGTATTTGCATTTTAGGAATTGTTTTGTTAAGTTATTAATGTTGTATAGAAAATCTAAATGGTCTGAGCATATGCGTTTGATTCTTAGAAATGAGCTGTATACAATAGATTTTTTTAATTTAAAGGGATGACAGCTGTTAAAGTGCAGGAATTTATGTTGGTTTGTGGGTTTGTTGTATAGACTGGTAGAAAGTGTATGTTTGTTTAATTTTATCATAACGTCTAAGAAAGGGATGGATGTGTATGAGTGCTCCATTGTAAATTTAATTGTATCGTGGAAATTGTTGCAGAAAGTGAAAAAGGTTTTTAATTTTTCTGATCCATGAGTCCATAGTAAAAAAATGTCATCAATATATCTAAAGTAATGTGATGGTTTATATTCTGAATTGTCTAGTATCTTCTTTTCTAGAATGTGCATAAAGATATTAGCATAACTAGGTGCCATTTTTGTGCCCATTGCTGTGCCACTAATCTGTAAATAGTGTTTGTTGTTGAATTTAAAATTATTATGTGTTAAGATGAAATTTATTAATTGGCATATATCTGTAATTTGGTAGTTAGGTAATTTTTTGTTACTAAGGAACTCATAGCAAGCTGATACTCCTTCAACATTTGGAATGTTCGTGTAAAGGGACGAAACATCCATTGTTACTAGGATTGTATCATGGTGGACTAAGTTAATGTTTTGTAATTTGTTGAGAAAGTCAGTAGTGTCTCTAATATAACTGAGTATGTCAGGCAATAAAGGTTTTAGGATATTGTCTATGTACCCAGATATAAGTTCTGTGAGGGTACCAATGCCTGATATTATGGGTCTACCAGGTGGCATGATTTTAAGGGTTTTGAAATTTCATAGATGTTCTCTTCATTATTTGATTGTGTAATTTTGATGTGGGTCGGATGAAAAAGTGTTAGGTGTTTTTCTGAAAGGATTTTGGGGAGTTTATGTAGTTTTGGGATAGTGTAGAATGTTGCTGTTTTAGGGTTCTCAGGAATAAGAGATTTTCTGGTATTTTTTTATGTTGTAGTTCAGGTTCTGAGTGAGAAGTGATAATTCTGTTTTGAATGTGCTAGTTGGGTCTAGAGGTAAGGGTACATAGAATCTGTTATTTTGAAGTTGTGATTCTGCTTCTTTAATGTAGTGGTTAGTGTCTAAGATGGTTATAGCATCCGCCCTTGTCGGCTGGGTACGATAATTATGTATCGGTTGTTTTTAAGAGTATAGATGGCTTGGTGTTCTATTTTGGATAAGTTGTATTTTTTATCTGGTGTCCTTTGTTTTTAAGAAGTAATCCATGTGTTGTCTGGCTTTGTGGGCATATTGATCCAAGTGTTGGTTACGTCCGCTTGGTGGGGTCCATATATTGTTCTTCGTCGGAGGAAGTTTGGAGCATGATTGGTTAGCGCTGTTGTCTGTATTAGAAGTAGGTTTGTTGTCTGAGAAATATTCTTTTAGTCTCAGTCTACGAAGGTATTTTTCCATATCGTAGCAAAGGTTTAGAGGTTTTAGTGTTTGTGAGGGGCAGAATGATAATCCTTTATTTAATAAAGAGGTTTCTCCTTGGGTGGGAGTGTATTTAGATAGGTTAGCGATGTGGTTGTCAGCAGAGGTAGTATTGGTGTAGTGAACATAATGAGATCTTCGTGGGATCTGTTGTATTAGATAGTCTTTCAGGTAAGTTATGTGTTGTAAAATGGGGTCCTCAGCAATTAGTTTATTGAGTTTTTGGTTTTTCAAAAATATACACTGTGTCAGTTTTTTTTGGTATAGGAAATTGAGTGCTTTTTTTACTTGAGAGTATTGAAACGGAGAAAGTGTTAGGGAGAGAGAATAACTGATTTTTTTTAGATAAGTTCATGTAAAAAAGATTTTTAATGTAAGCAGTGTTGTGTGCAAGATTTCTTAATTGTGTGGAGGTTCTGTTGTATATATGTTGGTCTTTTTTGTTTTTGCAATGTAATAAAACTATGTTGGAAATTGTATTTAAATCGGAATCCTTTTTGGTATTAAGTCCATTTTCTTGCAAAGTCCGAGAAAACATAATATCCGAGTGTATCTGTGCCAGTTTGTAGAAGTTTTTTTCTAGTTTTCTTTTATCGTCCTTTTTTTTTGCCGTTTAAGTAGGGTCCAAATAGCATAATGAGAAGCCACGTATACTTTCTTAATATGTATATATAGAAAAGTTTCAAATTGAAATTATAATGTTTTATTTTATGAAAGTATTTATTTATTTATATATATATTTGATATTTCAAATTGTCCTCAA